TAGAAAGAAAGCGTATGCTATTAATGTCAATGGTTGTTCTTGATCAATATTAATGTGGACAGTGGAGAGTAAGTGGCAGTACTCTGTCCTGCGCACACTTACTTTAAGACTAATATATTCTGGAATACCGAAAAAAAAAAATCATTTAGGCTCAGATCCTTAACACTATCTCAGTGCGTGAGTAAGATAATCATGAAAGAATGAGAAGCATGTCTGGAGGGGACTTCCGATTTTTTTGTCTTTCTTTTGTCTCAAACCAATAGGAATTTCGTGACCTAGGGTAAACAAGGTACCCAAAAATAACCTTCTCAACGTATGTCCATGAGCCATTAAATTATGAATAGAAAATCATGGAGTGACACAGCAGCGAGTCATATTCTCAAAACTTTCAAAATGTCAGTTTTGTATTGTTTGTTTGTTTGTTTGTTCATCTATTAGGAGAGAATCATCAGTTGTGTACATGTACTTAACACTATTGCTAATGCTTTCTTTATATAGGAAAGGCAAAATTACTCCTAAATGTGTGTGTGTGTTGGTTTTACGTCACGAACTCCCTTTTCTACTAAGGGCTAGGACGGTTGCCTTCTTGCGAAGGACTTGTTTTGGCAAATGTAATCGTTACCCTTACTAACCTCAGTCCGTGACGGGGCGTGAACCCTCGACCTGCCGACACAGAGTCGCGGACGCTATCAATTAGCCACGGAGACTACTTACTCCTAAATATGGTTTCAATATATTTGGAAAATAATGACTGCCCGTCATTGCGCACAGGTAGATACCAAATGGATTTTCTAAGTCTTGAAGGGATGCTAGTCTCTGCCTAGTGCTAGGTCGAAAAACGAACGCAATATTGTCATTTTTTCATTTTGCATTAACTCCCCCAGCTTCACTCATAGTTTGTATTTTTTTTTTAAATAGGTAATAATGAATGAAGTAGAGATAATTCAGAGGACAATGTTTAATTCATGCTTTAGCAGTTAGTGTACATTGACAAGTGACATATATACTTTTTTCTCCACTATCAGTGTGTACCTCCATTCAACCTCAGAGCTGTCTTGCAACTATTGACAATGCATCTTATAAAAGAGAAAATGCTATGAACCTTTTATTACAGACATAGCAACAAAATTTGGATGGTGGAGTTTTTAGCAGTATAGTTATTACATATCCATGTTAAAAATGACCTGATGGGCTCAGCAGCAAGATTAATAGAATATTATGGTTCTGATAGCTCATAGCATCATTATTAATTTCCTATCTTACCTAATAGTACTCTTCCTTTCTGCTGGCCTATATGTATGCACCCTTTTATAGTTCTACCCTTAGAGAGTCTGTCTGGTTAAAAAAAAAAAGAGAAAACAAATTATATACAGATGAAAGTAAAACTGAGAACACACACACACACACACACATCTTACAGGAAAGAGAGGGCTGGGCAGATTGCATATTCCTAGACTTCCAGAAAGCGTTTGACACTGTTCCACATCGGAGACTTATTAGGAAGCTGCAATCAATGGCTAGAATAGGTGGAAATGTTTTGGAATGGATAAAAACTTACTTAGAAGGAAGGGAACAGAGGGTTAGAGTAAGACACTCAGTGTCTGAATGGAGAAGAGTTAGTAGTGGAGTTCCACAGGGTTCAGTTTTAGGGCCACTCTTGTTCCTTGTATATGTAAATGACCTACCAGAGTCTGTAACTTCATTCATGAATATGTTTGCAGATGATGCAAAGATTGTGAAGAAAGTAAAAAACGAGAACAATGGTAGAGAACTTCAGGAGGATGTAAATAATCTGCATGAGTGGTCAGAAAAGTGGCTAATGAAATTCAATACTTCAAAATGTAAGGTAATGAGAATGGGTACAAGTGCAAGAAGGCCCAAGCTTGACTACTCGGTGGCTGGAGTACAACTTCAAGAGACAGAAAATGAGAGAGATCTAGGAGTAAACATACTGGCAGATTTGTCTCCAGAAATACATATAAATGGCATAGTAAGGGCAGCATATGCATTCTTATCAAATGTAAGGGTAGCCTTCAGGCACATGGACAAGGAAATGTTCAGAAATATTTATGTAACCTATGTGAGGCCAAAACTGGAATATGCAGCCCCCTTTTGGAATCCGCACTTGAAAAAGCACATAGCTAAGCTTGAAAAAGTTCAAAGACATGCCACGAAACTGGTGCCAGAAATACGCAATCTCAGTTATGATGAGAGGCTGAGGGAATTAGACTTACCATCACTCGAAGCTAGAAGAGTGAGGGGGGATATGGTGACAGTCTTTAAATTCCTTCATGGTTATGATAGAGTGGATAGGGATCGATATTTTGATATGACTGGCTCTAGAACTAGAGGTCATAGTTTGAAGCTTCGTAAGAAAACTTCTTCGCAGGATGTAAGGAAATACTTTTTCAGTGTAAGAGTAGTTGATAATTGGAATTGGCTAAGCGAGGAGGTAGTTAATGCTATCTGAATCCATAGTTTTAAGGACAGGTATGATAAG